TTTTACAAGGGCTTAACGCTAACGACACATATTATTGAAATAGTGTTTACTGTTGAGAGTTTGGCCGGTCGGAAGGACTACGGAGTGCTTCCGAGTTTTGACCTACTTTGACCTGGTTTTTTCGGCTTTGGCTCACCCTTGCCACGATATTCCGCCGATTGATCGTCTCTTTGCGGATTGTAAGCATAGATTCACGACTCATTGCGAGAAATAATACGTTTCATGACTTCCTGCCGGTTGAAAACCAATGTTTCTGCAGGTTTTTTTTTTTTTTGAATTGAGTGATTTTGCAACCAATCGCGCTTTAACTTTTCTTAGGACCAAATGATCTTTCAAATGGTTTCCACTGATCCTTTCGATATACAATACAAACGATGACAGGAAGTTATCTGACTGTTAATCGTTCATTCTTAAGCATTAATTCTCTTATTTTATTGACGTGTTGATCATCAATTGATTTTGATGGCCGTCCTGGACGTGGTTCGTWGTCAATGTGTTCTCTCAACCCTTTTTGAATTTCTACCAATCAAAAACACTTGTTCGCGACAAACTATTATCACTCAAGGTTTTCTTCTAACATTCCAAACGTTTCGGCACCAGAAATTTGATTCCGCATACAAAATTTTGATAGAACTTCTTTGTTGAATAATTTTACTCATCGTAAAAATCGACGAATCCCTTTTATGTACTTCAGAAAGTCGAGCTTATACTAAACTTATAAAGCTTATACTAAATGTTTGGTACAGATGTCACTGTTAGTCATCGAAAACTAGGAAAGAATATATTCTGATGAATRAGCTTTCACGAGAAATTTAAATTAAAAAGTTTCATTATTTTTTGCCCACGGTAGTAAATACGTTTACMATATTCGCGAGGTTTATGCGGCTTATAAAGTCTTATATAAATATTTCTGTACACGCTTTCAGCTTGATAAATGACCACACATTCCACATATTTGTTTATATTACAATACGAATATTGCAATTGATTCTTTTTCGCAACATTCCGCAGCGAAATACGGACTATCAACTCAGCGGCATTTCCATRTGGACTCAGCTTTATATGTGTGTGTTTTTCACTTTACTGCTTGAGTTATGAATGTTTATAAATGTCAACAATAACATAAAGTTGGCTATTAAGTGCTTCACAACTAAAAATTCTTATTTGTTTAACATTTTCAATTGTTTAAAAAATAAACATCCTGTTAAATTAATAGTAAAAAATCGCTTAATATATTTCTATTGTTATTATTGTTATTTCAAACTTTTTGCACCTAAAAGCAGTGAGCTCAATGGCTTGCTTTGTGCTTTTTGTTAGTTCGCTGATTTCCCATTCACGCCAAAAACTTGSAATATTTGCCATTCGAAATTAAAAATCAACATTTTTAAAAGCTTTGTGTCACACACATGTTGAGCAAATTTTAAATACATRTGTTTGTATGTGTAAAATGTATGCCAATAATGTATTTCATATTYTCCATTTTCCTTTCACTTTTATATTACGCACACACAACCTCCCCTCYCTCTTTACAAGTGTAATCAGTGAAATGAAATGAGTTTATTGCCGAAAATATTGAAAGTGGCTGCAATGCCGTGGCCGTTGCCAAAACCATTACACCGCTATATTGAATAACGGTACTTACATATAAGGAGTTAATTTACGTGTTTTCCGGCTTCTTGTTTTATTCTGCCCAAACGGATTTACAAATTATTATTATTATTTCCCTTCCGCTTATCGGTAAACAGTTATTACCTGTTTTGAAGATTACWTACCTTGTCCGAAATAATTTTGTAGCGAATGCAAAATAAACAGCTGATTTAATGTTCCTAAGTAACGAAAAAATTATCAAGCTTTTCAGACTGGTAACTTGTTACAAGGTAGAATGATATTCTGTTAGTTTTACAGAAACAGAATGCACATAATAACGAATTAACATAGCTAGTGTGAATACCCCTTTTTTCACCTAAAACATGTAATAAAAATAATCTAGTTCCAAGTAGATAATGGGTGATCTACAAATTATTTTGGGAACTCTCCCGAGTAGTAAGTTTTTGTTTGGAGTAATGTTCGAGTAGGTTGTGATTATGTAGATCCATCTTTCGTGGAAACGAACAAGGAACTACAGCCTCGGATGAAAAACCCAACTTTTGATGACGACCACAACATGATGTAATGGATGCACCTTGAATGTTCGGTTCCTTAATTGGAAAAGTACCGCTGACTAGCTGGTTGATGTCCTCGTAAAAGCAAAGGCTGAAATCACCGCCGTCCAATAAGTGCTATGGACGGGACACGAATGGAGATGAGTTACATTTACTAACAGCGGTCGTATAAAAGAGCTAAAATTCGGAGTAGGATTTAGGGTGGAAGAATTACTCAGTCGTCGAGTCCTGGTTCACTACGGTAGAGAAGTATGACAAGACAAAAGRTGCCTCTTTTTACCGGTTGGAGCACGCTTATGACAACTGCCCCCCCCGTAATGTAAAAATTGTGCGTGGGAATTTTAAGGCCAGGGTGAAAAAGAAGGCATCTTTGGTACAACAGTGGGAAAATTTAACCTCTATCGCTAAACCTCTCCAAATGGGCTGAGGTTAATCGACTTCATAAGGCCCCGAAATATAATTGTCTGTAATACAAGAATATTCATCAAGCTACTTGGCTGTGTCCGTATCAAAAAGTTCGAAACCAGATCGATCAAGTTGTGGCAGATGTATTCTGTGTCCTTGGGATGCGTACGCTCCGAGGACCTAACTTCGACTCGGACCTCTATCCTGTTGTATCGAAGATACGTGCCCGTCTCTGTACAGCAAAGTACGTCCGTCAACAAATACAGAGAAGGTACGACATCGAGAACCTACTATCACAAGCGATAGCGAAACCGTGTTCTACTCAATTTGCACACCTGCATTCATCAGCAATCGGTATAAGGAAACTGTGGGAGGCATCTCAAGCTCCTTATAAACACCTGCAAGCGAAATTACTAGTTTTCGAAAAGGTCGAAAGAAAAGCTGATACCATTAGGATCGTCATGTCACAGTGAAGAGAATGCGGACAACGTAATTCGCAATGTTGCGACCGATCACAATACGAGCGTGATGGGATAGATACCGAGAGTTGAAGAGGAAAGTGAGAAGTACATGCAGACCAAAAAAGAAAGAAGCGTAAATACGTGAGTATAAAGAGCTTGAGAAGCTGGCTGACAGAGGAAATGCTTGAAAATTGTACGAAGATATGCGGCGGCTAACGGAAGGYTTCAAGACCGGAGTAAACTCTTGTAGAACCCCCGGAGGTGATATAGTGACTGACTAGCAGTTAAATCGTTGACGATGGAATAGATGTTCCACTGGTCGACGATTGAAACATAAATATGCTCAGCATAATCGAAAAAAATTTGCATCAATTATAATGGGATAAKGACCTTTAATATCGCATATAAGGTCTAATCGAGTGTACTGTRTGAAATACTGAAACCTACTGTCAACAAACCGATTGAACCTAATCAGAATGACTTTAGACCTGGAAAATCTRCTATGAACCAGATTATCACCAAGTACCAAATCATGGAAAAGATCCGTGAAAGGAAGTTCGACACACATTATCTCCTCGTCAGTTTGAAAGTCGCCTTCGACAGCATGAAAAGGAACTGTCTCTATGCGTTAGTTAGGTCATGTAGTTTGGGTGGAAGATAACACTCTAGCTTTGAAGGTTTTTGGTTCAGTACCCGCCGGTGGAAGCACAGGAGGAGAAACTTCTGCTCCGTTRGAGAGATCAGGTGGAGAAAGACCAGACTGTACATAGTATCTCGAATTGGCGCCAAAATGGGAAAAGAACAAACGACAGTAAGCAAGAAGAAGAAGAAGGATCATAATATGTTGTTTAATAAATTCATCAAAAAAGTGCAATTCTTCTCTGACAAGTTTTTTTTTAACTTTATAATTTAATATATCTTCATTTGTCAAGTCTGAAGCTTTTATAGGAAGATTTATGTACCGAGCGTTGTTGGTACGAAAACCGATGGTTCTATGGAGCCTGTCGAGGAAAGGATTAAAGCCCATCGTCAAGGTTAAACTTAATCAGTGTCACTTAGAGCACAAGGTCCGCAAGTAATTTGTGCATGAGATATATGTTTTAAAAATAATTGAATGGGGAATTATGATGCTATGTCTGAAATTGGCAACCCCCACAAAACTGATTTGCTGTGCACAAAAATTTTCCGCAACATCAACTGCTCTGTCGAAAATGAGAAAATTTTATCCGAAATATTTGATATTAAATAAGCTTTCAAACCACTGTATTTCAGAAGTAAAACTAAATAGCTCGGGTACTGGATCTTAAAAAGTGTCCAATGGTCGAAAAACAAGTAAGAAACAGAACAGAAATACCTAATGTCATCGATATCAAAATTAACACTGTATACACCTCAGGTCACATCCGAAAAATTTGGATTTTAAGACAACACCAAAAAAGTTCACGGAGAAAAAAAGAAACAGTCACTGGATATGTCTTTCGAAAGCACTCAGAGTTTTCAGTTTTCAAAGTATTCAACGTAGTGTCAGAAGAAAAGAAACTTCTACGAAGCAAAACTGTAGGAAGAGATAATTTGATTTGGAGTTTTTAGTTAGCAGTCCTACAAGAGATGCGTAACAATTTGCTGTGCTTATAATGCTCGTGGTTTTGACGACATTTGGCTTTAACGGGACGAYTCCACTTTCCCAMACATCGCATCAATCAAAGGATTTATTRAGAGAACACTTCGGTGAGCAGATAACTTGACTCTCTCTTACGGAAGGTCATGCCTTGGAAGGCTTAAAACATATGGGGTTTTAGAATGGAAGGCCAACCTATAACAGAAAAAACATTGAACATTTTTATTATATTAGATGAAATGAGAATAYACTTTCTTTATGCTAATTTATTAGCTGTTCGCCATGAATATTTTAATATTTCAGCAAGTATTTTGCTCATATCGTTTTATAATTTTTTTGTATATCGTTCATAACCAAAAAAAACAGGAACTATTTAATCGGTAAATATTATTATAATGGATAAGCTTCTCTCTACCCGCTAAGCATTCGACTCAGCCTCGGTTGTGCCCTGACTCTCCGCYGCTGGTGCGTCGGGCTTGGGCTCCTCAGTCGAACCGAATACGCAACATGGACACTTCTCCTTCAACACCAAACGGTATTTGGGATGACTGTAATTAAAATAAGTAATTAAATTATTATTAACAGTTATCATTGGCACATTATTGCCGTGTACACGCAATGTATATTTAACGATTCACCTGATACCRTATACAATCGGATTATAAACCGCGCTGGTCTTGGCGAATGTTGCACCCCATATAGTATTCAACGGCGTCAGACCTTCCACTTCGAAGAGGCCGCAATAGCAGATAATTAAGTAAGGTGTCCATGCCATAAACCACAATGAGATTGTAGTCAATGCCACCTYGGCCAATTTCGCCTCGGCGCTCTTRTCACAATCCTCCGAGGAGCGCAACGACTTGACATTCATCTTTTTCGCCTGCTCACGCATTGCCTTCTCATGCGCAGCCACAGCCGCAATGATGAACCAGTAGGAATAACAAATGAGAAAGAGCGGCGTAAAATAGACGAGTAGRGAGTAGGTGAGCAGGTAAGAGCGTCGATTCCAATCGCGCGTCATATAATCGATGGAGCAGGCGGTTAAATTACCTTCGGGCACATATCTGCATGCATATATGTAAGTGATGGCGTAATGAGAAATTCAATTAACAGTTATTAATTTGCGTGCAACACCAACATATTAACCCACCTGCTCCAGCCCATTAACGGTGCCAGTGTCCAAAAAGTTGCAAACAACCAAATGGCAATGATTTTCATCAGCGCCAATTTAATCGTCATTGGTCGCCCTGAAACGCCCTTCACAATAACATTATAACGGTCCAGCGCAATCATGCACATTGACCAAATGGACACGCAGCCGAACATMGAGCCGCATATGGCATAAATGTCGCACCACAGCGGTCCCAGTATCCAGGTCTCGTGATAGAAATTGATGATCATGACCGGCGCCTGTGAGACCATCATGCAAAAGTCAGAGAACGCCAGGTTCAATACGAGCAGATTAGCGGGTGTGCGCAGCGATTTGGTGCCGCCAAATATGAAGACCACAACGCCATTGCCGCATGCGGAGATAAGTAGTAGCGCCAATGTGAAAATACCCAAAATTTGACTCATTGYTGAATCCATTGGTGGGAATTTACTCCAATAGGGGTTGACGAGATGTGCCATGTCGGGGGTTACCTGAAAATAAACGCGCATATTTAAATTTGGCTGATAATTTTATGTTTTTATATATGTTATAAATAATATATATTAATGATAATTCAAGGGCAAGGGCCACCTGGAGGGCATATAGGGGGCACACAAAAAGTTTAAAACATCTCAGGACGTCTAGAAATATAATTAACTACTTGTATAATTCCGAAAGCAGTAGGAATTTGGTAAAGTTACTCGATTATATGATCCATGTTTTTACAAAATTATCTTAAAGGGATAATAAAACTCATTGGCCTGAAAACCTGCTGATTTTAGCGACAATTTTTGCACCAAGAGAAGTCTATGTTATTCAACTTTGATAATAAGCTACGCCAGGTTTCTGAGAAATAACGGAACTGGATCATGGAAACGAATACAAAATATTTATTTGTTAAATGAACCCTCTAAGAAATTATGCCCATTTTATTCACTATGGATAGCTAAAAAAATGGAAAAGTCCAGCATTTTCGAAATATTTACTTCGAACCACCCCAGTGGCAATTTACTATATCTAGCTAGCACCCACATTTCTGAAAACAATCGTTATGAAATACTTATGGATAGGATATAAGCTTTTTCGTTTCGCTCGAAGAAAACTCTATTTCTCAGTCCGGATTAAGAGTTCTTGACAATATAGTTTGATTTTATAGACAACTTCGAAGGTGGTTATTATTCCCGCACATAGTTTAGCAACAGAATAAATTTACTAAATTTAAAGAAAGCAGGCCGACTAAAGCGAAAGAAAAAATTATCTTCGGTTTTTTAAACAAATACTTAAATTTGGTCGGCCGATTTGTATGGCAGGTAGTTTCCCGAGCAAGACCTTGATTTTGATAGTTCAGTGTATATGGCAATTATATCCTAAGTGGTATGTTAACGTCCGTACCAACAGACGAACATTCATAAATTGGCTCAGCTCGTCATGCTAATTATTTTCATTTTTTTCACCATTTCATGGTTCCCTTCTTTACTAAAGAAAAAACACAGAAACTCCAAATTTAATGGGGAGCGTTTATTATCATTCGAAAGAACATTCTTTGGTWTTTATGTTTTGAAGATTATCTCCTTCAAATATCGGTCGCGCCTATTTCTCACGCGGTCCATCCGTTGAGTCAAATTTCCACTGACTAGTTCAAGCATTTCGACTTGTAACTGGCGAGTGACACGAGTGATGTCTTGCTTCWAAGTCGAAGCAGGATTGCTCGCATTAATTTTAGACTTTACATATATCCACAGGAAAAAATTTAACGGTGCGTTATCATACGATCATTGTGGGCAATCGACCGGCCGAAAACGTGAAGTTACCGAAGTGTTTTCTAAATTATTTGATTGATGCCATTTGTCTGACGTGCCGACGTCTTGTTTAATCCAAATGGCATCGAGATCACGAGTTTCAATTTCAGGCATCAAATAGTCGGTTATAATGGCACAATAAACGTCGCCATTGACGGTTACATACCGGCATCATTTCCACACGTCCACAAACCACCTTTGGCTTTTCTGGATGAAATTGAAGTTCTTGAATTTCGTTGGGTTGTTCTTCGTTCCAAATGCGCAAATTTCGCTTGTCTACATATCCATTAAGTCAGAAATTGGAATCAACCCCGAGAAAATTTTGGCGCGGAAATTTCTATCCACTTTCAATTTAAGATCTCGACGTACACTCTCAGCTGCGGCTGCTATGTTTTCATCACTTCGTGCTTGACGTGGTCTATTCGGACGAATATTATCCAATAATGAAGGCTATGTCTCAAGATAGGTGATAGTGTCGTGAATAGTATGCTCAGTAGGTCGATAATGTTGACCATAAGTTGAGCGAAGTGCGTGAAACACATTCTTTACAAAACGTGAATTTTCATAATAAAGYTGAACGATTGGTAAACGTTGTTCAGGCGTAAGTCTTGACGCCATGATGAAAAGCCAAACAATACTGAACAAAAATTACAGMAGAGCTTGACACGACTCACACGCGATCTGTCAAAAAACAAAAAGCTATTGAAAAAGTTAGCGGACCAACTGTTATATATTTTTTTTATTGGATCTCCGACGTTTCCTTTTAGGTGTTATAAATTTCGTCGTTACCTTGTTCCGGATAAAAAAATKTCTCGACTTAACAGGTTTGCTGAAAAGTTCGTAAACTGATACATAGATGATACTATTAATATCAAATTTGTAAGATTTTTAGCTAACAAACACCTGAACAAATTTGGAAGATTAGGAACTATTAATTTATGAGATATAGTTTAAAAAAATTGATCAAAAAGAATTACTTGAGATCAATACTTGAGCTCAAGTATTTAAGATTCMCTTCTCCTAATTCGGCAAGTTTTACTTATTATACTAAGCCTTCTTCCAGACTCGTAAAAAAGGTTTGCTTTCAAATTTAAATTTATGTAAAAAAGAAAAGTCTTTTAAAAAAAAAACGTTACATATAGTACTTTCCAGTTCTAGATCTAGTACAATAATCTTGTTGTCTTGTTCAACTATTTGTCTGACGAGCACCGCGTATTATTTTCTTGCTTTTCTTCAATTGTCAACGTTATTTTAAACAAAGCARTTCCCTTTGAAATAAAAATGCCAAAGCCTAATCCGAAAGCTCGGCTTTTTGTGATTTAAGGGATTAAATTTGGCATTCCTTTGACGACAGACCAACTGTTAGAAAATCAATAAGGCGACACATAAAAGCAAAATCAAGTGTGTATAGAAGAACGCATGGATAGACGTCTGTAAAATAAGGTACGCTTTTAAGCTATTGAATATATGAATGTTCACCCAAATGATATTCCCACCTGTTCAAACTCAAAATATTATTTCGCTTCGAAACATTTGAATGAATCGCTTGTACTCATAAACTCGTAAACAATTTATTGCTTTCGGGCACATACAATAAAATATACGTTTCAATTTACACTTACACAATCCATAATCGAACCATTGGCCGCATACAATGCACACCCTTTGCCGAATTCACTCCAAATTTCATTGACACTGTGTGGGATTTATTTCAATTTTCGATTATTATTAAAAATAATTTCGCTTTACTTTATCATTATGCACTAACCGCTGCCAGTTTATGGCATTAAGTAGTTCAGGCAAGTTGAATGTTGTTAAATTTTCCAACATTTTATGTGTAAAATGCGCGAACGCCGCACCATGTCTGCTCGTAGCATTTAAATCACTATCCGGTTTTTTTGCATGACATTTTCCGTTCACTATTGTTGCCTACCTGCAGGCGCCAAGCGTGAATCAAATGCAATCACAGTATGAGTATGCACACAATAATTCGAATGCGTTTGATAAATGCGCTGACTAAAGCGAATACGCGCAAACACATTTAGCACACAGGTTTGCGATTATAATGAACTGGGYAAGCTACACGGTAAATATTTGTTGTTGGAAGATGGAATTATTATTGGGGAATTTTAACAATTGGGACAGCTTTTGGCAGAAATATTATTCATGTATTATATAAATAATGATTTTTTTCTATAAATCGTATTTGAAATTGTATGATATTGACAGGAATTGTATAACGATAAAAAACATTGAAAATTATCGAAGATTAATTATGTCATATTTTTTATGCTAATTGCAGAGAATTTAAACAATATTTTTCGAAAATTTTATGTTAACATATATTTAAGAATCGATAATTATGCGAATACATTTTATCGATAGTTTGAATTTATCGATTAACATTTGCTTTTTTTGTAATTTGAGTAATAAATTAGTAAACAGATAAATTTTCATTAAAATTATTATCRGTAATTCACCACATAAAATTATCGATATATGTTTTTGTGTAAAATGTGTCTTTTTGTATTTGAATTATAATTTCTGACGTTTTTAATTATACTCTTCTCCGATAAATTTATTTGTTTGATAATTGAATACAGTTTTGATAATATTTACATCGATAAAAAAATCGTTATCAATTAACCGATATTATATGAACTTAAATTCGTCACTAAACAAATAAGTATGATAATCAAAGATAACTTTGATTAAATGTTTACCGATAAGATAAAATTTATCATTATCGAWTTRYCWATATCACRTTTTCAAAAAAWTKCAAATTCTACGATAAATTGATTTGATTGATAATTGAAGACTATTTTGATAACATTTTTATCGATAAAATAAAATGTATAGTTATCGATTAATCGATATTAATGTAAGTTATATTCGATACATTTATATGAATGATAATTAAATACTATTTTGATAAAGTTTTATCGATAAAATAAAATGTATAGTTATCGATTAATCGATATTAGTGCAAATTATATACAATACATTTACATGAACGATAATTTAAGACTATTTTGATAACATTTTTTTTTCGATAAAATAAAATGTATAGTTATCGATTAATCGATATTACATGAAATTCTAATGTGCAACATTTCAGCGATACGCAAATATCCAAAAATATACATTCTCTAGCTTTGATTTTCTCTAAATGTGCATTTACGCCTTGGCATTAACCTTGATTAGAATCGATTAAAAAATTAACACGAGCTTTGTCAGATTATCACCTGTTGTTTGATCTGTAGTGATTGCGGTGTCAGAGTGGGGTGTGAAAAGATTTCATGCTAAAAATAGATGCCACATGAATTGTCACTAGCRTTAAAAAGTGGATTTACTTTAATAATCCTAAACGAACATAATCATAGGTTAATCCGGGATAACCATCAACATCGACTGCAAAAACAGATCGATTCGGTAAGAAGACAATCTCTGTGAGTGGTGGSAAGGTTGTGCCATATCATGAATTTCAAAAACCTGGCGATACTCTAAATACTAATGGCTACAGACAACAAATAATCATTTTGAACTATACATGGAATAAAAAACGACCAGAATGTGCCAGAAGACATGGTATCCACAAATTGCCACAAAGGTGTTCAAAATGTAAACAGCTATGACGCATACTGTGAATATTATTTGTTTTTTTTTTTTTTTGTTTTACTTTCCCATTCAAAATTTGTACTTAATTTTCATGAAAAAAATGCTCATTTCATTTAATTTTTAAGGGTAATATTCAGTTTGTGATACTATGGAGGCTGCTGAATGGCAGTGGAAGCTTATCAACAGAAGATGGTGAACCCGATTCCGTCGATGGAGCGGACGTTTCATTGCCCGACCATRAAGMAGTTCGAATAGCAATTACCCGTTTRAAGAGCAACAAAGCAGSGGGGGCCGATGGATTACAGGCCGAGCTRTACAAATACKGTGGCGAAGAACYGATAAAGAGCATGCAGAATATGTTCGAACCAAAGCATGTACGGCGATTGATATATAAGTGCTATTTTGGCTCTTTCTTACTTGTTATACATAGTTGTTTTATAAAGTCTTAACCTGTTAAGGTGCACACGAAATAATCTTTTCTATAGTATCATTGTGCAAGCCGAACGAAGGGAAATATTAATTAATGCTAACCAAAGATAAATTTCCTTGATGGCGAAAGTTAAATAATAAATAATAAAAATTATAAACAAAGTAAGCATAGTACTGTTAGTTTACCGCAAAAACTCTTGCAATTTGAATCTAGAATTCATCAATTTCATATGCACTCACCCTGTCCAAAACACTGCCATTGCTCAGAAGCGCCTCGAATTTCGGGAATTGCAGAGAAGCTGAACTGCAAAATAACAAGCACGAAAAGCACGCACACATGTTACCACAATTTGATTAGTGTTGCATTGGCAAAACTATATTAACCCCTAGTAATAAAGCGGAAGCTACAAATTCCAGCACTTGTCTGCTTATTTGCGCACATGTACCTGTCCATTGTCGTTACCATTAGCCGCACAAAATTGCTGCAACTTCACAAGAGCGTGTGTCGAGTTTCRCATGAATTTCTAACTTTTCAGCGGATTACATTAGARCACGCCGCTATTAGTTATGAACTTTTATCAGTGGTGGACGGTTGATAGACGCACCACTTACATACGCACTCGCGCAAAATTACATCAAAAATGTCTATTAAATTAACAGCTGAAATTTCGAAACACCGTTAACGTTGCCCTTTCAATCGGCGGAACCGGAACCGCGTTGCAGWGCTGCCACGAGTAGCCACGGCCGGAGATTGCCACGCTTTTTATTAGCGAATTGCATTTGCAACACTAATTGGATTAGTGTTGTGTAGTACAAAGCGCAAAACGCTTATAAATTTACATAAAAGAATAAAATTCCGAAATTTGCATTTGAAACTCATACCTCTTGGCTCGGCTGTGGCACAGCTGTGGTGGATCGCTGTTAAAGTGGCGCCCAATGTGCACTTTTGCAGGTGTAAGGGGTGGGATTGACATGCATAGAGACAGTTAAATGAAATACAGTTAGTTATTGTAACTGTCAAGGTAGAACAAACGCGTTTACAACTGCAGATGTCAATAAGTGACAGTGACAATGTTGGGTCATTTCTTTTGTATCCTCTATTTGGCAAGGGACAAAGCTGAAAAAAATGCTGAAAATAACAAAAAAAAAACGGCTTGACTATCAATGTCAATTGATTGACTAGTGAATTCAAATGTTATTCATCTTATAATTGGCYCAATACGTGATTTTTATACCCTGAAYAGGGTATATCAAGTTTGTCACGATGTTTGTAACACCCAGAAGGAAGCGTTGGATACCCTATAAAGTATATATCTAAATGATCAGTATGTTGAGCTGAGTCGCTTTAGCTACGTCCGTCTGTCCGACTGTCTGTMTGTCTGTATGTATACGAACTAGTCTCTCAGTTTTCAAGATATCGTTTTGAAATGTTGTAAACGTCATTTTCTCTTCAAGAAGCTGCTCATTTGTCGGAACTGCCGATAYCGGACCAAATAGCTGCCATACAAACCGAACGATCGGAATAAAGGGCTTGTATGGAAAACTTTCGCATTTGACGTGGTATCTTCACGAAATTTGACATGGATTACAGCTTAAGGTAATAACATAATCTCCGACAAAATTGTTCAGATCCCAATACTATAAACTGGACCGATAGTTACTAAAAGAAATGCACSTGTGAAGGGTATATTAGCTTCGGTGCAGCCGAARTTAACGTTTTTTCTTTTTCTTCTAAATTCAGTGATTTCTCTGTTCTTTCAATTGASTCTTTAAGAACTTTGTTATCAAGTGGTCTGCTTCTATATAATCATACAGACGATCTGAATATTTTTACCTTTTAGCTTCCCTATTAGAACCATAGAATATTGCCGGAATTTTTTGTACGGATATGGATAGAAAATTGTTGGGTATTTTCTTATAAAGTTTTTTTTCGAAAAGTTCTCATTTTGTATGAAGACGAACCAGACTATTCTCGGATACTTAGTATAGTTAGAACCCATATCAAACTTAAGCGCTCTGACTTCGCAGCTTGATTTTCCTTAAACTATTTTGAGCAGATGCCTCTAGTAATTTCTTCGAAAACACCACATTTTTGGCAAGATTATCTCTTTAAAATGTTGGYYGCGGCTACGTCTCAGATGGTCCATCCGTTCAGTCCAATTTTCGATGAGCCGTTCGTGCGTTTATCTAGAATTTACATACACAGGAAAAATATGTGTGATATAACAAGATCTTGGTTGCCAATCAACGTGAAATTATCTGCTCACCGAAGTGTACTCTGAATAAATCCATTGATAGAAGCGATGTGTGGGGAGTGGCGCCGTCTTCTTGAAATCAAATGTCGCCGAGATCACAAGCTTCAATTTCAAGCATCAAATAGTCGGTTATTTTGGCGTCGCTATTGATGGTTACGTTCCCACTGGCATCATTTCTGAAGAATATGGAGAAATATGGACCGATGATCACACCAAACCGTTGTTTTTGGATGATATTACAGCTCTTGAATCTCTTCAGGTGGCTCTTCATTCCAAATGCGGAAATAAAGCATGTTAACAAGCCAATTGAGCCGAAATGAGCCTTATCGCTGAACAAAATATTGCTCGATAACGTTGGATTTTATTGAAACTTATCAAGAACTCATAACACACACACACAGCCTTAGTGTACTCTTTCAACTACGGCTGATCGATTTGTAAACATTGTTCGGATGTAAGTCTTTTTATGATGAAATATTTTCAATTGCTGGGATATTTGAATCACATTTTGTTCGAAGTGCTGTTTTCAGAGTTGTTGACGAAAAATTCTTCGACACAGATTCACAGATAGACTTGAAATGTTCACACGACTTTCTGAGATATATTTGCCAGGCAATTTTCAAAGGAATGAAATATTTGATAATATTTTTTAAGCCACTTTGAAGTAAAAAAATTTTCTCAAATGATGAACACAAAGGCGGTGTTTATACTAAAACCAGGCGGAAGAACACATAAGAATGCTAAGGACTTTAGATCTTTTCTTTGTGCAAGGTCCCAAAAGGACATAACTTATCTACTGTATACATACATAAAGGGTCGATTAACAGAAACTTTCTTACACGTGTTGGCGATAATTGTATTGCTAATTGAAGCAGGAAGGGATAAGGACAGAGCGAAATTCTAAATCAGACTATATCCCTTCATGGTGGGATTTCAATATTTACTTCAAAATGGGAATACCCTCAAGTCGTGAAAAGGTTTTTTAGGGGAGGGGAATATTATCTGAATCYATACCGACGGGTCATTCGTCTATCAAAGTTAGCTAGCAACTTCCAAGGAGGATACCGAAAGTGACCATTTACACAGACAGCCGGGCCGGGCAGCATTATTAGCTTCGTCGTTGGAAAATATCAATTCCAGCTTAGTAAAAAAACGTAGGGGCTTTCAGTTGGATAAAATACGACAAAAAAGTGCGTAAAAGATCATGGTCCAAGCGTGGTGAAGCTCAACAAATGGTCGCAAAGCCAGAACTGACGCCTCGAAAGGTAATACTGAGTGTTTGGTGGAATTGGGGGGGAATTGGAAAGAAATCATCCGGTCGAAGAATTGATTGATCATTTTACTGCCAACAACTGATGAGATTGAAGTAAGTAACCAAAAAAAAAAACAAAAAAAAAAAAACCGCCCGAACTGAGCAGCAGAAATTGAAGAAGAAATCGTCTTTCATGAGGACAACGCTAGACCACACACATCTTTGATAACTGGGACAGACTGGCTGAGAAATTAAATTTTGATGCACCCACCATCTGACTACCTTTTGCTTCGGTCAATGCAGAACTTCCTTAATGGAGTAAAGTTGGCGTCAAGAGAAGCCTGTGAAAATTACTTATCGCAGTTTTTCGCCGAGTATTGAGCGGCAAGAAGTGGTCGACGGTAAATATTTGGTTAATTGAAGTTCATTCTAAATATAAAAAATATAAGTTGATGTTTGATTAGAAATACGAAAAGACTTTTTCGACTACATATATATGACTTACCACCAAAGCATATAACTGTCGTAAAATATTAATTGAACGATCAAAATCACATCAGTGTATGAAAAGTGAAATTGACGTGTATTTCTGTGTTCCTTTTGATCACTTATTCACTTATCGGTGAAAAGTGAATTCACATTGCGTAATACTATCAAAGTCATAAATTGAATTCTGTAAAATCCACGAGGCGAAGCAGACAAATTGCATATTTTTGCAACAATTCTCGCCACAGCTGCATACTTTTGCCACCAACTGTCAGGAAATTATGAAAAATAAAGAAAGTGTGCTTCGTTAAATATCTTGAATATTAATTTATATTTTTCTTTTCTATTCCCCTCTTGCGATTTTAATATTCCGCATAGCGAAATGCCAAAGTTATTTTAAAAAAAAATATTTCCACTATGAGTCAATTCCGTTGGCGTAAATTGCAAGCCACAGATTTTCCAATCAACTCGTAAAAATATTTGCATATGGATATTTTCAAAGATTTTTTGGCGAAAGGAAACAAAAAGTAAACTGAATATTCACATGCAACATGTGTGCGGGTGTGCGGGTGTGCTCAATGCCAAGCAAGCACAGTCAAGTACATATATTCATGTGTGTATGCATGTATGTACATATATATGTAGGCAAGTGTGTGGTTGCGTGAGTTTAGCATAAAGGTCATAATGCGCTGAACGTCACCACGAAAATGCTTGATATAAAGTTGCAAGGATTAAATATCTACAAGCAACATGCAAATATCCGAGCATTATTACATATTCACAGACATATACACATATATATATCTACTAATATACCTATATAGTGCCACTCTTATATATTGTAACTGTAAGTGAAGTGACTACTACAAAGGAATGCTTAACGAGTGGCAGCCGCCGGGACCACTTGAGTGGCCAAAGCGGGGAGGGAATTTCACATTATACAAGTATATGTTACGCCGGCATGTGCGCTAGAAAGCTATGCAACAGGAATCTTCAAATTACTTGTAGAGAGAGCGCACAAGCTCTCAAAGGCAAGCGGGCGGGTTGAAAAGGTTGCTGGCTGCTGTCACTTTACCTCGTAAGCTGCAAGGACATTAAGTAAATGCGTTAAAAGCGTAAAATAATTTCAAGTATCTTTGCTTTGTTGCTGGTGTTGTTGTTGTTAACAACTTATCGGGGTGACAAAAACAYTGTAGAGATCGATGCTTGAACGCTTTCACCTTAGAAAGATGTTTTGTGGACTGTTTAAAGCAGTTTTGTTGTATTGCTGTTGCACTTTTGTGGCATATAAGTATATGGGAATTTCCGTGACAACCTTTTAATCGATGCCATGCTGTTGATGTGAAGGTGGAGTTGCACTGAGTGCTGAAAGTCAAATGTTAAGTTGGACCGACGAATATCAAAGAACACCTACGTGAGCGTTTGTATGTTTGTATGTGGGGGTTTGCATAAATTTGGCTTTGAAAGACGCACATGTGAACAAATGTTGCACAAGTAAAGTCGCTAAACTGTGTTTCACTCATATATACTTATATATTCGGCAGTGTTTTGTGTTAATCCTGTAGGAAAATCCGAGGAAACCCAAATAGTTTGGGCGTTTTTGCTGTTAAATTACTAGGCCTGTACGAGATAACTATGATAGATCATCGGAAAGCTGGAAGAGATTTGGTCTAGTAACTGAACTGACGTAGTTGTCAGAAGGAAGTGGAGTCATC